TGGCATACATCTAGAGATTTATGCCACATGAATTTGAACTGTAGGGGGAACCACACTCCATTGCAATTTGAGGTTAGTAGCTATGCTAAATACAGAAAAATGGGAAGCCCAATTTTTAACCTTTGCCAAAGCTTTAAACCAATGCAAAATATTTTGTAGGAGTTGCTCCCTACGTGTACTTGCCCCCCTATGGATGTGAGCATTGCTCTCCATCCAAATTCTCCATATGGTAATAGAAAATACACTTATCCAAACAAACTACATACCTGTAGACCGAAACATAAATTAGATCCAATTGGCCATCAAAGTAAATATGGTTTGCGGAAGGGGGAAGCACTTCATACCTGTAGACAAAAACATAAATTGGATCCAATTGGCCATCAAAGTAAATATGGTTTGCGGAAGGGGGAACCACTTCTCAAATCTATTGAGAATCGATCTTCATATCAGGTCGGAGTACGTGCATTGCAACATAACATGATATCAAATTCTTCCTCTTGGGCACAATGGGCAAATGGAAATTGAAGCGAGGCCCCTTGATTGAAGTAATGACGAAGTGGGTAATCTGGAATACAAAGCTAACCATGTGAACCATTTCGCCCTAAGAAGAGAAGGCGTAGGCCACAAAATTCTAAAGACATATTTCATAGGCTCATCCCTTCTGATGTACTCCCAAGCCCTCTTCATCGATAAAAGACCATCGGCCGCATGGATCCAAACAAGATGATCCTCATGCGAACGAATAGGTAGAACATAAGAGAGCACTTCCTATGAGAGATGGTTAGAGAAGGAGGGTGGGGCGGCGAGGGGGGGGGGGCGGGGGGAGATTCCATCTGAGAGGTGTACAATCCAAAAACTTATATAATTTTGCCAGGGCCGAGGAACCAGAAAGCAAGAGAGTATTCATACCATATACCTCAAACAAAGACTATTATGATAACCATGGATCAGCCTAGAAATCAATCTGCCTACCATTTCTAACCAACCATTTGACATTAAATTGCAGCCTATTTATACAAAAAAAAATAAATCACGCCAAGCATGTGAATATATTCTAGACTTGGCCTTCCAAACTGTGGTATGCCGGTAGTATCTATGTTTGAAAAATCTTGCCAGGAGAGCGGAATGATTTGAAATGACTATCCAAGCCAGCTTCATTATCCCAACTACATTAAAATCGAATAATGACACAAACCCAAACCCCCCCCCCCCCCTCATTTCAAGCATAACGTATTCCAGTTTACAAGATGCAATCTCTTGTTTTCAGTAGTTCTTGCCCAGAGGAAATTATGCCACAATATATAAACGCCCAGCCCAAACCCCTTGGAGGTATTTGTGGTAGCATAGTTTTGAAAGTATACAACTTGAAATAAAGTTGTGCCGTGGCCCTTGACCCATTTTTCCCTTGTGAGTTAGTGTGGTGTGTGTTCTTTTGTTGGGTGCACACTAACTAGGTTGAGATTGACCCATAGCTGGCTGGCTAGGAGTCAAGACCACACAATTTTCTATGTGAAAAATTATCCCCTTGGTAGTAACCACAGGTCCACAAAGAGAGAGAATTTAGGAGATGGGATAATAGTTAAGGGTTATGTTAAGCTACTCTCTCTTATGGAGTATTTCTTTAATCTACTCAACAATTTTGTACATTTGATACCCTTACTTCATAATTTTGTAATTCTTTTGCCTAGTGTGTTTTACATAATTAATCAAATATTTTGTATAGAAAAAAGCATATTTATGAATTAAGTTGGGAATGATGTCACTCATATCGGATGTGACATCATCAGCATAGGATACAACATCACACATATAGAGCATTACTTATTTGTTAACAACTAATAGGATGCCATTAGTTTCTTATAAAAAACTGTAAACTATCGCTCCAAATGGAAAAAAGTTATTACTTCCCAAAAACGTTTTGTATTACAAACCAAGGGTAACGAGTGTCAAATAAATGTAGAGTAGGTTAAGTAAATACTGCATGAGAAGGAAGAGCCAAACAAAAAAACCAACACTTAATTACAAAAACCTACTAGGGTGTTTTAAATATTATATTTTGAGAATCACATAAGTCACTAGAAGATAATTCTCAAAAAAAAAATTGAATTTTGAATTTGTTAATACTTGGTTCCCAGCCTCGAAAACTTGGACGACCACTTTTCAATCTCGAGCCATCACTTTTTTCAAGGGCACAAAGAGAGCCATTTGCAAGTTTTTTTCGCTAAGGTTGGTCTAATTGTAGCGGTTACATCCCCAAAAGTTGGCACCCTAAAATAACTCCTAAATTGGATTTTGCCCGAAGGACTAAATGAACATTATACTCCTTTAGGAGAAAGGATCTTTGGGGAATTACGAATGTAGTTCAAATTACATTCAACAACCACTATAGTACAACACTCCTCAATTGTTGAACAAATAATCTTAAAATGTGCGGCAAAGGTGTAGTCTTCTTTCTTTTCTTTTTTACGGAAGTTGGTTAGTAAACATTCAAAAGAAGACAACATGTATAAAGTGAGATATTCATTTGATTTTGGAAGTCCGGCCAGATTTCCCACAAGTTTACTTCGGGGATTTTTTCGGTTTGGTGAAAAAAATGAAGCAAGTCGATGTTTGATCAATTTGCGAGAAGATTTCAGATTTTTTTTAGTTTATTATATATAAAGTAGATATTTATATATATAAATATATAAAAATAATAAAAAAATCTCAAAATAAGTTTTTTTTAAAAATAAAAAAATACTTTTATATAGATAATTCTTTGCTTGGGGCGATGAGGGCAACCGGTCCCTCCCCATTAGGCAGGTCCTCTCCTTCCTTTATCCGTACACGGTGCATTACTACCGCGTGTGTGGTTCCCATTGAATCAAGGCCTCTAATCCTTTACGTCGCTGCATTAGAAACGCTTTTGAGAGATTCATTGGCCCAAGATAATGAGGAAGGAAAGGAGGTAGCACTCTATTATTTGAGCCGCACTATTAGCAGGGCCGAGTTCCTTGAAGGTAGAAAAGGTCAACACTTCGTTGTCCCTACATCCTCTTATGTCGCACATTAGGTCGACAGGGTCACGACATTGGACAAGCATAGTACACGGCTTGGTGCATGTGGGTCTACATCTAACAACCAAATGGACGCACAGAGGGGACGGTGGGCTAATCGATACGCATAGGCGCTCGGGCTAGGAAAGCACAAAGTTTGAGTTCAAAGTCTGCACCAAGCATGTGAGAATTACAACTAAAAGATGGGTAGCAAGAAATAGGGAGACAGTTACAACATCTTTCCTAAATTGATCCACTAGATGGCAACGAATCAAGGATGCAGGCTACGATGTGCAGCCAAACTTAGAGCAGTTATAATTGACACAAAGAGTGAGCTCTTTTGGGTGACTAGGTGCGCTAGCAATTACCTAGTAGGTGTCCTTAACAAGGCTGGCTAGGAGTGGAGGCCACACAATTTTCTATGTGAAAAAGTATACCCTTGATAGTAACCACTAAGAGAGAAAAACTAGGAGATGAGATAATAGTTAAGGGTTTTGTTAGGCCCTTTTCTATTATAGAGTATTTTTTTAATTTACTTAACAATTTTGTACACTTGATACCCTTACTTCATAATGTTATAATTATTTTACCTAGAGTGTTTTAGGTAATTAATCAATTTTTTTTTGTAAAAAAGAATATTTATTAATTAAGTTGGGTATAAAAAATATTGCCTATATCTAATGTGACATCATTATCATGTGATATGACATCACACAAATAGAGCATTAATTATTTTTAACAACAAATAGAATGCCATTAATTTTTTATAAAAATATATCTTTTATATCTCCAAATGACGCAAAATATTACTCGTCAAAAACTTTTTACATTACAAACCAAGGGTAATGAGTGTCAAATAAATATAGAGTAGGTTAAGTAAATACTGCATGAGAATGAGGAGCCAAACAAAAACCAATAGTTACAAAGACCTACGAGGGTTTTTTCAATATGCAATTTTGAGAATCAGATAAGTTATTTAGAAGATTATTCTCCAAAAGAATTTGAATTTTGAGTTTGCTAACACAGATCCCGCCCTCCAAAACATGGATGGCGTCTTTTAAATCTTGAGCCATCACCTGTTGTAAGGGCATAAAGAGAGCCATTTGCAAGTTGTTTTCACTAAAGTTAGTCTAGGCTGTAGAGCTTACATCCCCAAAAAGTTGGCGCCCTAATATAATTCCTAAATTGGATTTTGCCCGAGGGAATAAATGGACAATATACTCTCACGGGAGAAAGAATATTTGGGGAATTGCAAATTTAGTGCAATTACATTCAACAACTATTATAGTACAATATTCCACAATTATTGAACAAATAATCTTGAAATGTGTGGAAATGGTGTGGCCTGCTTTCTTTTATTTCTACAGAAGTAAGTTAGTAAAACACTCAAAAGAAGACAACACATATGATGTGAGATGTTCATTTGATTTTTTAAATCTCGCCCGATTTTCCACAATGCATAAGGTTTGTCACAATGTTGTCAAATTTTCTTTGGAGATTTTTTCGGTTTGGTGAAAGAAATGAAGCAAGTCGGTGCTTCAGCCCATTCGCGAGAATAGTTCGGATTTTTTTTAGTTTAATATATATATATATATATAAACTCAAAATAAAAATTTCAAAAAATAATAAAAATACTATTAAATAGAAATTACTTTGTTTGGGTGGAAAAGGGTAATAGGTCCCACCCCCATTAGGGAGGTGCCCTCTTTAAAAATAATAAAAATACTATTAAATAGAAATTACTTTGTTTGGGTGGAAAAGGGTAATAGGTCCCACCCCCATTAGGGAGGTGCCCTCTTTACCTTTATACGCACACACCGTGCAATACTACCGCAATTGTGGCTCCAATTAAATATGTGATTCACGCCTTCCCCTTTGAACACGAGGCCAACGTGATTTTATATTCAACCACACTGCCTCTCTTTCTCTCTATTTATCTCACGTTGCTCTTAATAGTTAGTGCCGATGAGTATCAGAACCAACTCATTCTCTCCAACATTCATACCTAAGATTAACCCCAAGCAGGTTACACCCTATATATATATATATATATATATTAAAATTCGTTCTATGTGCATTTCACTTGTATTAGAATTGTAAGCTACTCTTTTACAGTTGTGCCTTTAAATTTCTTTGAACTCTTCATGATCTTTAAATGTCGTTGAACTCCTCATGATCCCTCACAGGTATTTGGAGACCACAAGGTTTAGAGATTTGAAAATAAAATTGAAGACCACATTCAACAGCTTGGCATCGCCTACCACTTTGAAATAGAAATTGAAGCGGCGCGTGGTGGCATTTACAGAGGTTTTTCTGCAAATGGTTCGGATGACAATCTCTTAGTTGCTTCTCTAAAATTTCGACTCCTTAGACAATATGGATATAATGTGTCATCGAGTGAGTGAAACTTTAATCTATATTTTCTGATGTTTGGTGCTGATTTATGGTTTAAATAATTTCTCTAATCGCCACCCCATGTTTATTTTGCAGATGTATTTAACAAATTCAAGGATGGCAATGGGAATTTCAAACCCAGTTTGAGCGAAGATGTTATTGGTATGTTGAACCTCTATGAAGGTTCACACCTTCGAATTCAAGGGGAAGATATCATGGATGAAGCACTAGGATTCTGTGTCGAGCATCTCAGCACAGCATCGCGTAGAACCTAATATCACGAAAATAGTGAGGCACGTCAAGCTTCCATTACACTTCTGAACCCCAAGGTTAGAGACCAGGCATTACATTGAGGTTTACAAAGAAGATCCTCAGAGGGACCAAGATTTATTGGAGTTTGCCCAAAGAGACTTCAATATGGTGCAATCCATGTATAAGGGAGAGCTGAAAGAGGTTTCAAGGTAAGTGTCATCACAAAATTCTTCTCCCTTGTGATATTAAGGACATTTTCTCAGTAGTGTCTTATCTTTGTTTAGGTTGTGGCGGGAGTTGGATATGGAAAAGGAGCTTGCATTTGCTCGAGATCAAATACACCACTGGTTTATGTGGCCTGTTGCAATCGTCCCTGAGCCACAGTATTCAAAATGCAGAGTTGATATGACCAAAGCCATTTCCTTCATCTACCTGATAGACGATATCTACGACGTGTACGGATCCATGGATGAACTAGAACTCTTTACCCAAGCAATTACAAGGTATGGGTAGATTTAATGCACAAACACAGATGAAAATTTAATGCCCTAAGCATCACTGAATTTCTAATCTAGAGACGATAATAATTTTTCGGGTGGGATTTAAGGGAAATCCATGGTTTACCCAAGTACATGAAGGTTTGCTATTTAGCTTTACATGATGTCATACGAGATATTGCTCAAAAGATACACAAGAAACATGGACTCGATATCACAGACCACCCAAGACAAGCGGTAAAAATCATCTATCTTCTTCTAAAGATAGGGTTGCCCTAGCCTAGCACTGGTCCTGATAAGGCTAGCCTAGGCTAGGTCAAATAGGCCCATATCTATGCCTAGGCCCAAGTCTAGCCCTCGTGTCAGGCCGGACTAAATATAAGGAAAAAGAAATAAAAAACAAAAATGATGAAAAAAGAGGGTTGAATTGGGTTGAACCAGGCCACCCCTATTGTGGCCACAACAACCAGGCCACCCCTATTGTGGCCTAGTTATGTTGTTTTTTTTTTCTTCTCTTTTTTGATAAATATGCGTAGTTGCCACTTTGGGTTATTTTCAAAAGCATGCAATCACTCTTGAAAGTAATCACAAACTCAAGGTTTCTTTCCACATATCCATCATTTCAATACATGGGGTCTCTATAGACGTTTACAACAAAAACTACCCATTACCTACATGATTAGATCACTTCAACTACCCATTGCCCACAAAGCTACATGATCCGATAACTCTCACAAAATAACTAGCCACTAACACCCACATAGAGAGAGATAACTACCTATGACTCTTGACTACCCTCACATCAACTTAGAAAGAGAGATAAGGACACGGACACGGACCCCACTCTCCTATTATATTGCATTATTCTCGGCAACATCTACTTAGAGAGAGATAAGAAAGACACGGACCCAGACCCATATCTCCTATTATTTTACATCATTTTCATCAGGCTTGCCAGGTCCTCGGGCCACATTTTGTTGCCCAGGCCTTGGGTTTTAGGGTTGGGCGACAACATCCAGCCCATTAGCATCCCTATCTATAGAATTGTGTCACAAAGCATATAAATTTTCTCCACAGCTAAATTGGAAATTTTGTATTATTATTGCAGTGGACCTCATTATGCGAAGCCTTTTTAGTTGAAGCAAAATGGTACCGATCTGGGCAAGTGCCAAGAGCAAAGAAGTACTCGAAACATGCAGTGACGAGTACAGGTGTGCATGTTGTCTTGATTCACATGTATTTCCTGATGGAACACAAAGTAACAAGGGAGACTGCTCAACTCATAAGCAATGTTCCTCCATTCATTCGCTGCTCAGCAACCATTTTTTGGCTTTGGGATGACTTGTCTACTTCAATGGTATGCACCATGCATCACATCGACAGCTGGAGACACGTATCCAAATTAAATTAATTTTAATCTCTCTATATGTATATATATTTGGAGACACGTATCCAAATTAAATTAATGTTAATTTTAATTTTAATCTGTCTATATATATATATTTGAAAAGCAAAATATGCTAATGAGACCTCACCTAAAATTGTGGTCTCGAAACCAATTTTGGCAACAAAAATCTCCATAATGGCTCTAAAATCAATTTCTGACACTGAAAATAAAATTTCAGATTTAAAAAATGGTACACATCTTGTAGATCTATGAACACTTATTTTTTGGGTGAAATGGATAGTCTAGATAATTTGTTACAATACAAATTAATTTAGAACTTGAAATCTAATTTTTTTATTCCTTTTTTTTTTTACAACCATAACGTTCACGTAGAGATGATTGTTCTAAAGATTTTCCAATACTTGAATTACAAATTTCGATGAGTTATGAGGTGAGGCTTTATCTATTTTGATAGGCCCTATCAAACCATTTTCGACCTTAAATTATTGAGAGTATATTTGTGGTTTGACAATTATCCCTTATATAACACGAACAACTGGTTATAAGATATCACAGGAGGAAAGAGAGAGAGGGGATGATGCCTCTTACATAGAATCATACATGAAGGAACATGAAGATGAATCAGAAGAGAGTGCTCGAGAACACACTACAAATCTCATTATAACAATGTGGAAGAAACTAATCCATGAGAGTCTCAAGCCAAGCCCCTTTCCACATTCCTTCACCATCTCAGTGTTGAACATCTCTAGATTGGCCCAAATCGTGTACCAAAATCAAGAGGATTCCACCGTGAAGGATCACATGAAGTCATAGCTCCTGGATCCCATTTCCCTCTCCCTTGACGGATCGGCGACCCCTCCAAATATGCCTTCAACCTTATAAAACTAAATCAAAACTTTCTTCTTCTTCTTTTGTTTTTTTTATTTTTTATGTTTTTTTTTAAGGGTGGTAATGGAGCGTGAGATGTTATATTGGGGTATCCACCATCTTAAGCATCAATGCCCTAACCCCATTTTTTCGTAAATTAAAAATTACTTTGTCATAATTACCATTTGCATTGGTGATTGCACACATATTGGGTTTAAAACCACTCGCATACATGTTGGGTATCATGAGAGAATTTGATAATGAATCGAGGGTTCGTTGCCTATTCTAAATACATGAAATCTTTACGGGTCCATTTTTTGAGATGCTATCTAGATACACTTCCACTGTTTGTCTCTTTTTATTTATTTATTTATTTATTTATTTTTTGGCAGCTAAATGGGAAAAGCTTTTCCAGCTCATAGTAGAAATGAAACTCAAGACGTCATGTTGTGGCACCGGCCACTTTGATTACCTATGCTTTGAGCTCATTCCTACTTGTCTCAAATAGAAATGAAAAGATATTTTTCTTGATATGCTTTATAATTTTTATTGTAATTTTTACCAAATTTTAAAGGTAAACTTTTATCGCTATTTGATTATTATAGCACAATTCTTAATAGTTTTCTCCAAAAAGGAAAGAAAACCAGTAAAAAATAAAACAAAAAATAAAACTAATTAAAAGAAATAGTAAAATACATTCCCGACATCAATAAACATTGAGGGCAAAGCTGAGTTACCAAGCTTTGTAATGTCCATCAAGCCCAATAATACCTTGACAGATGCGCCCTAGAACCAGAGGAATTAAGGAAAAAAATTTAAAAAGAAAAGAAAAAAAAATTATTGCAAATAGGGTCCATGAGAATCACAAAGATCCTAGTGCTCCTGATAGAAATTAAATTTCCTTTCTAAGCAAAAAATTAAATTATGAGGAATGATTCATAAAACATAAGAGGATGCATAAGAGGTTTGGACATAAGAGGATGCATAAGAGGTTTGGACCATTCATTCTAATGCACCAAAAATCATCAAATTGATTACTCGGTCGAGCAGGTGAATGGTTTCTAGGTTTATTCTTTTGACCGTTTTGGTCTCTCTCTTCCCCAAAGGAGACACTTTCCCTCACCCATTCTCTTTAAAACACTCACCAATCCTCTTATCTGCATGTTCCTTAGAATTCTGCCCACTCCGAAGGTACGTGAGCATTCGGTGCCCTTTTCTAGGAAAATTGTGCATTCAATTATGCTTGAAGCTTCAAACTTATGTGTATCTCTCAATTTTCCTACATTTCCTATTGTTGTTCACTGTGACATCTTGCCTGCAACTTTATGGAAACATCAGATCTTTAAGGGCTGCGCCATTGATGCAAATGATCACATCACAGGCTCTACTGGGTAAAGGAAAACTTTTTGGAAAGAGCAAGGATATACAGACGTATCTTTCCTTCTTTCCAACTGTTCAATGATTGAACCTTAAAACCCAAAAGTTTTATTAAATTGCAGCTCCCATAGAGTAGACAAAAACCTAATTTCTCTGTCCTTGTCTCCTGTGACTCCAAATTTTCGTGATTATAGGAAGAAAAGTAGAGAAATTTCTCTCAAAACATCATTGCTTGAGCTCTCACACTCTTCTCGTTTAGTCTCCAAAGGAACCCCTTGAAGGCTTCATCTCACTACAAAAAGTGAAGCGCATTCATTTCTTTTATTATTCATTCTTCTCACTTCACTTTCTATCAACCAATAATATGAACGTGTGCTTACATGATGCTAAACATTAATAATTGAAACATACTCATTCTTGAAAAGGCATTTTTAAATGGCCAGAAATGATTAGATGAATGAATAAATAAATCATAATTATGCCAATTATAATAATAAATAACTTATTTTATACTAAATTAATACTAATATTTAATTAATGATAATAATAATAGTGACAATAACAATAACAACCAATATAAATTGTACCTAAATCTAAATAAACAGAAAAATATGGAATTTTAAATAACTTTCTTGGATTGACCATAGTGTAACGATTCATTTCGGGATTAAGAACTCAACTGTAAAGAGACTGACTGGGTGCATTCCTTTGATAGCTTATATATTAAGGAGTAATGCTAATATCTATTTTATATTATAACATCTATTACAATATATATTATCTTTTACTTAATTTTTTGGCTAACCCTAATACTAAGACTAACTTTTTTATACCCCTTGACCTCATTAGTACCAATACACCACCCAGCACGAATGTTAATAATTTCATGTTCATATTGAATGAGGGATTTATGGTATTTATGGGTATCTTAATAAGAGGGATAAGAGGGAATAAAGGGTGTCAAAGAGTGCACGTACATGCATTGCAGGTCTTCTTAAAATGTTATACATAATGAAATTTTCTGGTACTATAATCGGAGGCAATATAGTGATTTTAGCTATACCTATCTTTTCATACCATTAGACATTTATTTAGCGAAGCAACTCATTTTTTTCATGCAATATTTTATAATAGTGCATAAACATCTGATATACTAATTTGAACAATATAAAAGGACGTTATTTTAGTTAGAGTTAGTTTGAAAAATATCTCTCTATACACTATTTTGAACTTTTATTTACCAACTAGCTCAAAGTTTGAAAATATTTCGTAAAACATAAAGATCCCATATAATATATCTTCTAACCCCCTGGACTAACTTTACTGATTTTGACTGTCACTTTCTAACCCTGACAAAATAAGATAGACAAATGTGTCTATTCCGTTCTAAACCCCTCTCTCTATAACGACTCTCTCTCTCTCTCTCTCTCTATCTCTCCCCCTGTGTTTCTTCCCCAAAACCTCTGTCTCTCACCCAAAACCTCTGTCTCTCTCTCGCCTATCTCTCTTTCAGCACATCTCTCTTTCAACACTTTTCTTTGAAGAGAGAAATAAAAGAACTCCTCATAGAGAGAGGCTTAAAAATAAATAGATATAGATGTTTTTCTAACTTTTGTTTGGGTTAAAAAAGGGTTGTCAAAAGTGGTAAAGTTGCTCCAAGATATACCATGTGGGATCTCTATGCCATCAAAAATTTTTTCAAACGCTGGGTCTGTTGGAAAATAGAATTTCAAAGTACGAAATATAGAGGTATTTTTCTAGTTAACTCAATAATGATTATATTTAGTAACACTAAGATAAATAAACCAATAGTACAAAATTTATATTATTATGGTGTACATAAAATAAATATCGTATTATGAAATATTGATGATAATTTTGTTAAGGCATAATCGCTTAATTACTACTTGTTTGAGTGTAAGATGTACTAAATATCTTAGGATGATTCTATTGATTTTGTCAATTATTTTAACATTCAGTACAATATTAAAATTGTATTACTAACTATGATAACTACGAATATCATAATAATTAAGAATTAACGACTTCTACTAATAGAAATCATATTAGTTTTCATTAATGAATATTACTATGGTTTTGATTATCATTATTATTACAGCCTTTTTCTAACTAATTGGGATTAGTTGCACGAATCCAGGTTTGTCATTCTTCTCTATTAAGGATCATTGCGTTAGTGAGGCCATAAGTCCCTATATTTTTTCTCACTACTTCCATCCATATTATTTTGGGTCTATCCCATGCCCTTTTTGAGTCTTCCACTTGATCTAACTCGCACGTCCTAATATGTGTTGTACTAGGTTTGCACTGCATATGGCCAACCACCTAAGTCTACTTTCTCTCACCTTATCTTATATTGGTGCCATACCTAAATTCTTCTGAATGTATTCATTTTGATTTCTATTGTTTCTTGTCTTGCTACTCATCCATCACGACATCATCATCTTAGCGGCACTCATTCTATGGATTTGTTCTCTCTTGACCGCCCAACATTCTGTCCTATAAAGCAAAGCCAGT